TTCATGTTAGCTCTCAATTCCATGACCTTCTACTTTGTACTTCTAAATTTCATTTCATTTCTATTACTTGAGTTCCCAAGGTCTTCCAATTCTGCCTGCTTGGTATTCCAACCCTTCTCAGTACTGGTCGTGTTTTCCAACATTCTGTTATCAAGTTTCACTACCACATTTCCAATTTAGGGCTAAACAAATCAGACAAAGGTAAGCACAACAGGGAAAGCAGTGAAGAAGTGTGAAGAGCCAGCCCAAAATCCAACAATCCATCAGTGACAGGGCTAAGAGCTGGGGGACCTGTATTGTTCCAGGCTTGCATTTGCTTTACCACCTCATTCTGCGCTTCAGAGCAGGCATGAGGAGAAACTCATAGGCTCAGAAAGGCAATATACATAAATAACTGACAAAATTGTCTCTTCAGTGGATTGTATCGGTGGATGGTAACCTATGACCTCCCTGAGAAATCTGGTATCTAATGTAATCGCCTTTATATATAACTATTCACAATGCTGATAGTTATATATCTATAGTTATATAGAGATAGCTATATATATCCACAATATATATATTTTTATATATATAATTATATATATTTATATCTATATAGATAGATAATTATATATATCTATCCACAATAAATTCTGAGAAACATAGACACACAGATGATGACATTTCATGCCTTGCTTCTTAGACATGCACAGTCTCAGTGCATCTCCAGGCATATAACACATGGTGGTTTTAACATGATAGCCTGGACTGGAACTCTTTAAGCAATAAAATTTAGAGAAACAGCTTAGTTAATGCTCAGAACGTGGTCTGGCAGCCTGCCATGCATGAGCATCACTGAAACCGGAGTTCATGCCAAGATTCTTAGCTTTCAACTTCACAGAAATTCCTTCCATAGTTTATACTAGATATCGTCCAAGTTCATTTAACTTTTTTCCTTCCTTTGTGCAGTTTAATTCAAAGCTAGTTGAACTTATTACCTTTTTATAGATAAGCATTAATAATATAATAGTTATAAGTCCAAGTAGAAGTAATAGAATTAGTCTGTTCATATAATTTTGATTAAAGACAGGCCCAGCACTAAGAGGACACTTATTCCATGTCTCCTGTGCCAAACCTCTGTGAACACAACGATAAGCTGCTCTGTGACCTATTACAATTACCTGTATGGCTACTCACATAATAAGTGTTTTCTGAGACTTATAGGAATTCACTTCACATTCAGGAGTCAAATTTGTGCTGAAGATCCTCTTAAGCCAAAGAATCTTTCTCAACAGATTTGACTGAAAGATCAAGGCCTTAATATTTGTGCTCATGATATCAAAAGGTCTAATTTGATCCTCATATCCCTGATGTCTGCTTTCCCAAGCCTGAAATCTGTGCAAAGGAAATAGCTGCAGGTCCTTCCAACCTTGTCTATTTTTCCTCCTTTTCTAGCAATTACTATACTGAATTAGACACTTACTAAACTAGACCTAGTCAGTTATTCAAGTAAATAGCAAGCCACATTCCACAATAATACTGAATTAGGTGAATAATACAGTTCGGAGGAAGAGAAATACTATTCTCCCTAGCTATAAAATAGGAATTAAGACAGAGCTAGGATTTTGTCAATGGTCACATAGAAAGTCCATGGCAGACAAGGAAAACAGGGCAGAAGACAGACAGGAATATTGAGTTCAGATGGCACTGAAAGCCTGTTAACACATTAGACATTTAGACCATCATTGATACTAGACAGCACACAAGATTTTCAACAGCATGTGCTTCACAACAGATCAGTCACATTGGTCTCAACATACTTTTACGGGCTCTGGTGTTTTTAAAAACAGAGCACTTGAACATTCTACAAATTGTATCCCAATCATGTAAAAAGACTGTATTGTAAAGTATTGTTTCAAACAGATCTCTCGAGGCCTTTTGGAAGTGTTGACAGGTCATCATTTCACACTATTAAATTCAGAGACTTAAAAATTTAGCCTGATTATGTGGATGTAATGCAGACATCCAATGAGGTGTACTTCTGTGCTCTCTTTTCCCAGAAGAGTAATGACTGCTGGGCCATTAAGTGCAACTACCATGCTGTCTTCACCCAAAAGAAATATGGGTCATAGTAAAAAAAAAAAAAAGATCAATAGCTGTCTTCTCAAATGAGGCCATGTTGGACCACAGCTCAAGAAGGCTGGCCAACCAATTGATTTTGAACAGAAGAACTGAAAAAGTTCAGAGAAGACCAATTTAAAAATTTTTATTCAATTATATTTCATCTGTAAATTATCAAGTACTGCAACGTTATGACAGATTTATAGGCACATGTTTATGCTGCATGCAAATAGAATTTAAAGTCACCACATCCAGAGTCAAATCTCAGCTCCGTATGCACAAGTGTTTCTTCTACTGTACATAAAGACACAGTTATGTAAATATTTGTGCAATTTTATTTATATAATACAGCAACAATTCAGAAAGCTACTGAAGGTAATCATGATAATGACTGCAACCTTGCTTTTGCTGATTTACAGGGTATGAACTAAGCCACCTGCTCTGCAGTAGCTGTAGTGTCAGACCCCAGAAGGATTTAACTAAAACATTACTTCTATACCCCAGGCTCCTGTGCAAAGCCTGTATCAAGAGCCTCATCTAGTAACAATGTCTGGTATGTATAGCTACAGTTTGGGAACTAAGGGAAGATGGGAAGAGAGTTTCCCTGCAATTCAACAATTATGAATGAAATGCTAGTCTATCTACCCCATACACACCAGTTAATGCTATTATGCTGCATTTCATCAGGCAGTCTTTTAACAATCTATCTCCAACAACATAGCCATGAAGCAAGGACCAATTTTCTTCTAATGGCAAGCAAGAAGGGTGCTGTCTCTGTTACACCTATTACCTTGGCAGCAGCTCTACCCATGCATGTCATCATCTGTGGACACAGAACCTCTCAGAAGATTATGATACAATAAATTACTTTGGTTGAAGGCAAGTTATTATGAGCTTAATTACATGTGCAAGCTTTTTATACCTTCACTTTGGAAAAAGCTTAGCAGGAGGTTATTGGTAGTCTCTGTTAATTTCCCCCATAAAATATTTAATGGACAATCATATGCATTGGTAGCATGCTAGCTTTAAAGTAATTAAATAGAACCATAAAGATGGCTGGGTAGAAAGATACCTAAACATGAACTTTATACCATTTGCTTTTGCTCATCAGAGAACTGGTTAAGAAATTTGGGGGGTTCTTTACTGCAGAAAGGATGATTTTATGAGGAAAAAGTTTTGAGGCTTTACAGTTTTGGTTAGCATTTTCAGAAAGCCTAAAAAAAAGCATTTTCAGTTCTGAAACATTAAAACATGACAGAGGAAATCTTCACAAACATCTTCCACAGGAAGAGGAACCATTTCTCTGACAATTGCACTTGGGAGATTGGGGGAAGAGAATGAGAAACTGCAAGGCCTCCAGGTTTCAAAAAAGAACTTTAAGCTCAATAAGTGAGATTAATACAAGTCCTTAGTTTGAAAGAAGACTATTGAAGATGTCCCTTGCTATACATTTATCCCTTGCCATAAATCTGTCCCTAGTTAAAAGTGTTTTCAGATTGTCAGGCCTTCATTCAACGTACCATTTTCAAGTGCTGCTGAATTCAAGTTGTACATAGAAATTAACAAGTAAAATCCTTAACCTGCACTCCTCAGGAGTCTAAACCAGATATTGACAGAGATTCCCTTGCCACCTCCTAAAAATCTATGAAACCATATTAATTGTAAAATCCCCTTAATAAAATAGTAGTTACTGTACAAGCACAAGCTTTTCCAGATATCTATTATATGAGAACTTCAGCCACCCCAGTAGGTAGATGTCATCTCAGTGACTGCACAGAAATATACATTCTGATGTATCTGTTGATACCATTCTTAAGGCCCTACTTTTTACACTGAGATTGAAAGCAGCATGATTTCTCAGACACAGAGATGACTACAGCTAGAGAAAAACAGAGAATAAGCTAGGCAGAGATAGGTCACATTTAACTGTAATACTCCGACTTCTTTGCAAGGCAAGATACACTGTTTACACCACAGAAACAAACGCGTAACACCAGAGCTTCCTAAACATAGGAATTCTCACAGAGTAGCACCAGGACTGCTGACCAGCTCTACTCTGTGCTTTCCCACTGTCACACTGCAGCCACAGCGCACAAACCCCATGCAATAAAGAACACTTAACCTCCGTATGCTCATGATTAATGTTAACAGCAACGATTCCTTCACTCAGTCTTCGGCAGACCGAAGCAGGGTTTTCTGTCTGCGCTCTAAGACAAGCTTTTCAACATACAGACAACACACGCCTCACCAGGAGCACCGTAAATGTTACATTTACCATGAGCATTGCATTTCCTTTCCCTCAGTCCCTGTCTTAATGTACACAACTGTATTTAAACTAGAGGAATTCAAGAATTCATTTTAAGCCTCATTGGTCTGCTTTGTACAGATACAAGTCATAACACATCTTGAAGAGACCCCTGTTTTCCAGGCTATAAAAAAACCCGAGTCAAAGCACTGCTTCCTCCAACCCTATACCAAAGATCTCCATGAGCAGAATTGACAATAAAATGTTTTCCACCAGATTTGCAGGCAAAACGAGCTTCCCTGTTTACCACCTTGTGGCCTGAAGTGGTAACTATTCCTTTCTTACACACCGCTTCAGCATTTTACATTTAAGTGCCTTCTTTAGCAGCAAGCACAGAAACTTCACTCAAAGTTCCTCCTCAAAGGAGGCCATATGCTCTCAGTGAGACTGACACGAGCCCGAACTGCCCCAGTCCATGGGGTGATCGAGAACGTCTGGCTTCCAAACAGCTCTGAACATTCCCCATACAAGCACCAACCGGTTGCCGAAGCCGCAGTCCTCTACCCACCGCTTCTAAAAGCCAGCAGCCACCCATTGAAATGATACTGCGCCCAAACGAAACGAACAAGCATGCTGTAAACGAAGTACTTACATCCCTGAATTTGTTCCAGTACTTGTCTCTATCATACTGCGAAACGGTGCTCAGCCATTTGTCGTTGTCCAGGAAATTGCCATGATTGCTGCTACTCGTGATGATTTCAGGATGCCGGCTCTCCACTTGCAGGAAGCACCAGGCAGCGATCACCAGCACCCCCGACATCTGCAAGGAGAGGAGCGGAGCGGGCAGGGAAGTTCAGAGCGGACCCAAGCTCAGGCTCGTCTCCCCTCACGACCCTCGCCAACTTCTGCCTGCGGAGCTGCCCAGACCCGCCCAGCCTGGAGGGGCGGGAGCAGCAACACCGGTACAACAATAAAGGTAAAACCGGTCACCTGCGGCCAGGCAGAAACCAGGCAGGGGCAAACAGCGCTGTGAAACCTCAGCGCAGCCTCCCGGCCAGCGCTGCCGGCGCGAAGTTTGGCTGCGAGGGCGGAGAAGAAGCCCTTACCTCCAGGCAGTGCCACCGGCCGCGGCTGCGAGCACCGTGCGCTCCTCTTCTTCCTCCTTCCCGTCTTTTGTGCGGGTCGGAGCGGCACCGAACCCCGCGGAGGCTCCTTCAGCGGCTCCGGCGGTGCCGTGCGTGTGTGCTCGGCGAGGCGGGCGGGCGGGCGGGCGGCAGCGGCCGAGGTCTGGCTCCATCTACCTGCGGCGCTGAGGCAGCGCAGGGGCGGAGCGCGCTCGAGCGCCCGCCTGAGGGAGTGGCGGCTGTAACGGTCATCCTAACGGTCACCCTAACGGTCACTCTAATGGTCACCGTAACGGTCGCTCTAACGGTCGCCCTAACGGTCACTCTAACGGTCATCCTAACGGTCACTCTAACGGTCGCTCTAACGGTCACTCACGGTCGCTCTAAAGGTCACTCTAACGGTCGCCCTAACGGTCACTCTAACGGTCAATCTAACGGTCGCTCTAACGGTCGCTGTGTGAGCTGAAGGGGCCGCGGGGCCGGGGCACGTTGTGTGTCTGTGAGGAAGGGTGGGATCGCCCCTTCGCAGAGGGGGCTTCGCTACTGCTGCAGCCTGACGAGTTACGGAGCTGTAAAACTGGCTGTAAAAACATGAAAACAGCAACAAATGTCAGCTTTTATAAGCCTTGGGAGGACGTAGAATCAGAGAATCACAGCATTGTTTGGGTTAGAAGGGACCTTAAAGCTCATCAGTTCCCACCCCTGCCATGGGCAGGGACACCTCACACTAAACCATGCCACCCAAGGCTCTGTCTGACCTGGCCTTGAACACTGCCAGGGATGGGGCAGCCACAGCTTCTCTGGGCACCCTGTGCCAGCACCTCAGCACCCTCACAATAAAGATGTTTTTCCTAATATCTAATCTAAATCTGCTTTTTGTCAGTTAAACACCATTTCCCATTGTCCTATCACTGCTTGCCCTTGCCAAAAGCTCCTCTCCAGATTCCTTGTTGGCCCCTTTTGGCACTGGAAACTACCCAATAATATGACTGCCTTGAGTCAATGGTTTTACTATTTACAAAAGTAACGACATTCCAAAGACGCAGAAGTCATCCCAGGTTTCGTTATTCCATTTGACAAGGAGGCCTCCTCCCTTGGCCAACCCATCCCATGCCATGGAGGGGTTTCTGCCCCATGAAGTAAGGCATTGCCCAGGCCACCTGAGGGGTGCCAGGGAAAGACATCTTCCATTTTAAAAACAGGAAGGAGGCAGATGAGGGGAGCTACATAGAACCATAGAATAGTTAGGGTTGGAAAGGACCTTAAGATCATCCAGTTCCCACCCCCCTGCCATGGGCAGGGACACCTCACACTAAATACTGGTCTGGGAATGAGGGGGAAAGGAGGAGATGTTCTCCAGTGAGAAAGGGGAAGATCTCCATTGTCAACTGAGGAGGGGGGAAACAGGGCTGGGCAATTTCACACACCACGTTTTCCAGACAGACACATCAGATATTCCTTTAGTAACATAGAAAAGGGTCATGTTTATTCAGTTTTTACTGCAGTATCTGAGCACTGAACTCAATATACAGTTCTGCTCCTAGATCTGATTTTAAATACAGTTCCTAAATACCACATAACCACATAAAAGCCTCTGGGACTGGAGAAAGCAATGAGGTTCTATTAATTTTGATAGCAGAGAACAAGCACATTTGTACGTAAGCATCCCACATTGTTTTCTCTACTTTGTGTGCATAGAATCTAATCAAAGCTACATGCCAACAGGAAGGCAAACTATAACCCAATAAAAGCAACAAATAGAAGAAATCCAAACCAAAGCCCTGCAGATTTGGATGTAAATCCAGATCCAAATGCCCTGTTCCATCTTCCCTTCTATACTGGGTTATACCATTCTTCTGGTGGTAGTCCAGGGTAGTTATGCCTCTCAAATACCTCTCAGTTGTGCACGGATGTTTCTATGAAACTGTTAGCTTCAGTGACAAATAAGGTTTCTTTAACTTCTGCCTGTCAGGGTGAGTGAACACAAGCTTCCTCCTTTCTTACTTAGATTAACAGAGTACTGTGCAGTTTATTCTGTATGGGCCTTTTCTGTAAGGCTTTTAACAACAGAGAATTTGTCTTCTCCGCACAGGCATTAAAGATCTTGCACCATCTTCAATCTCACAGTGAAGAGATTTCCCTTGTGAGCTTACAGAAATCTATTGCCATTCAGCAATATGCAGCTTCATTTGACTCAAGTGTTTCACCCCAGACATTGCTGCCTTTCAGCACTGCCACATACAAACCATGTTACCTGCTAAATTTGGGAGGGGTTTTATGCACAAGGGACTACATCAGTGCTGCTGCTTTTGCATAGAGGCACTGATACTTTCTCGATCCCACTGGAGGTCAGACAAATTTAATCCCCCCTTGACCATTCAACTCATGAATTGCCAGGCCAGGCTGGCAAAAAGCAGCAGAACACGGTTTCCCCCAAACCCCATAAGAGTTCTACCCATTGCATATGCATAGCAGCAGTTAGTTCATCCCTGTGAAACACACTTATTAGCACAATAAACCAGGTTCAGTCCTTCAGTGGCTTCAGTAGACTTCGTTCAGTGTGAAGCAGGCTGATACGCTTGCCAGTCAAAGACCCTAATGATAACAGAAACATTGTATGTAAAGTGACTAATTACATTTTTACTTGTAGCATATTTGTGTCAGAAATGTGTCTTCATTTATTTAATTACTTCATAATCCCATATTCAACACATGGCTAATCTTTCTTGATACAGTAAAACACAGGCTTCTTGTTTAATCCTGATAGCGATCTCCATCACCTCCGCACTGTTTATCACCCGTGACTAGAATTGAAACACCCTTGTCGGCTGTTTTTTTTAAATCTCTGGACAGTGCTAAATTGCCTCTAATTCTGATCCAAGAATATAATATTAGAGATCTCTCTGTAGTGGATGACTCAACTATTTGATATTTTGGATATAAAAAGCTCCTTTGTTCCAAGTTAGAACAATGACTGAAGAGCTAAAACCCACTTTTCTTATGTGTGCCTGCAGCTGTAAAAGGTGCCACGGTATTGATTTTGGATATTACTTGATAATTCACTTCAACTGTATTAATCATTTGGTCAGAAGTTGTAATTACAGCCCAGCCAGCTTCTCCACGCTGTAGCCTGTCTGTGTTCATTCTAGAAGCAGAACCTCCTGGTGCAGAAAGCATTTTACACACACAGGAATGAAAGGCCAGATCTCCAGCTAAATTTCCCATGCAGAGGAATGTTACAGTTGTCATAATAGGTCGCTCTGGGACTTTCAGTTAACAGAAAAAGCCTTCAGCACCAGTCTTGCAGGCAACAAAACTGAAGCACATTTATCTTTCCCCCTGACCAAAACAAAGATGCCTGGAGCATCAAGTCAGCCGCTCTTGTTCTCCCTAAAGCTGCACCGAGCTTGTTCCCATCATAGCCAGTAGCCAGCAGCTGTGTACCCAGCAGTGTAAGGTCAGTAGTAATAGCACATAAGCATTGTTATGTGAAGGATTTTACTTCCCCCCAGTTATACTTGGCAGTGAGAATCACTTCATGATTGCTTCCACAGTTCTTGAGGCAGTGGCTGCAGCCTTTGTAGTAGAGCCTTGAAAATCTTCTGCAGACTTTTATTGATGGTTTTTCCCCTCCTCTTGTGAGGCACAGTTCCACTGACTTCATTTTTTAATACATTCACTCAGGAAAGAAAATCTTTACAGTAACAAATGTTTAAAGTATGTTTCTGTACTTTACCATGTACCAGAGTCTTTCACTACTGGATTAGGAAAATTCAATCTTGTAATTTAACTGGATTTAAAAATATATCACTAAAAGGGTACCTGCAGTGGGACAGACCTTTATTTAAGATCCCTTTGTATCTTCCATATACTGCTGTGTCCTTTTAATAGACAGGGGGTTTATTTCCTCCGGCAATTCTCAGAACTGCAAATTCAGCTTTGTCAGCTCTGCTGGGCAATTGTGCAGAAAAAAGCTAGTTTAACCTGTGCAATAAGTGCTTGTTGGCACATACAAAGTTCCCCAGATATTTGTTCATTTTACAACAGACCGTAATTCCTCTTCTTTAAAAATACTACAAATACAGGTTCTGATTTGACCGCTTGATTCACCTCCGCTCCTGGCCTCTCCTCTATACAACATCCACATTTTATGACAGCAGTGCCTGGAACTTTGCAAGAATTTGCTAAATGCTTGCAAGCAGAAGCACTGTAAGTGTGCCACATGGCAGGAAAACTATGGGTTTCTAGTGGGCAAAGTGGTGCCAGCTGCTGTGGAGACATCGCAGTTGGTGCAATCCCCTGTGTTCTCATCCTTTCTGAAGCACTTAACACCAGTGTCAGTGGTTTCAGTGTAAGAGAAAAGATCCACTGACCTGGAAAGATCCTACAACATGTTCTGCTGGTGTGTATTAGTTATAATATCCCAGATTAAAGTGAATCCAAATACTAACAAGTCCTGGTCAAAGTAAAAGCTGAACACAGTTTAGGGTAGAGAGGTATAAGAAACAAAACTAAAGCAAAAGAACAGTGAAAACAATAAATAAAGTGACTTAGCACTTCCAGAAGTCAGAGGTGTATTTCAGGACTGAGCTTTTCCCACCTTGCAAAGCTATCTTGCCCACAGGTGCCTAGAAGAGAAAAATACATCAAAAAGACTTGTGTTCACATAAAGCATATAATCAAATACAAGGTTGCACTTAAACTGAAGGATGAGATTCAGGCAGGTATTTAAGATGTTTAACTTTTGCCTTCTGAGGCTAAGCCTCAATTTCCTCTCTCATAAGGAAAAAGGAACAAGTCCCTCTGAATGATGCCGCAGAGCAGAAGCCTATCCTAGCTGCTGTGGATTGTTTTCTGAAGGATGCTGTTGACTCCAGAAAGAGCCTACAAACCAGAGACACACTAGGTAAAACCCAGGCCTTGTGAATACTGTCCCCAGAACCTGCAGGCTAACATAAAGAAATAACTTTACTCACATGAATCAGTCTATTCAGACCAGAACATACATCAGTTTAAAGACTAAATGTTTAATGGGAAGATAATCCCTGCATATTTGACAAACGGTTTCACGTTATCTTTCTAGCGGATATGGTGATCATGACAAAAGTAATTTTATGGCAT